CGTTGTGTGTTCTACCCAGCACCCCTCCGTCTCTGGACACCCCGTCTCTACTGCTTCTGTCCCTCTCTGCAGCGTCACAAGCCCGCCGCACCGTGCCTGGCTGTGCGTGCTTCTGCACACATGCTGTCGTTCACGTTACACTCTGGCACATCCGCCTTGACACATGTGGCTCTGGGTAAGGAGTGGGCACACCTTTCCTATAAAGAGCCAGAGAGTAAACTTTTTAGGCTTTAGGGGCTGCTCGGTCTCTGTCACAGCTTCTCAACTCCGCATTCAGTGTGAAAAGCAGCCACGGGCCACATGTAAACAGACCGGCATGGGTGTGTCCCATTGAAACTTCACGGATGCAAAATTTTAATTTCACATCATTCTCACAGCATGAAATATAATCTTCTTTTGATTTTTTCAGCTTTTTAAAAATGTAAGAAACTATTCTTAGCTCGTGGGAGGTACAAAAAAAGGTGATGGGCCAGATTTGGCCTACGAGCTGTCGTTTGCTGACCCCGGTTTGTGTATTTTCTTTCTGTTTTATGAATACACCCAAATTTTTAATCCATTCTCTTATGATAGATGGGCAATTGGTTACCAGTTTTTTGCTATGAACATTATTATAAATATCCGCATGTACACGTGCACGGCAGCATCTCTAGGGAATGTGCCTAGATCAGAATCACCAGGTTCCAGGGTGCACACATCTGCATCTTTCTCAGACCCTGCCAAAGGACGGTCTAGAGGCACTGTGCCTGTCTGCACCCTCACAAATAATGCATGAAGACCCTTGAAAGCTCATCCATATGTAGGTCATGTTGAAGGTTTATAAAATATAGTCGTCTGTTTTTGCTGTTTTTAAAAATGTATTTAATATTAAATAATATTTTTTAAAAAAATTATTAGACTAGTATAGCAGTTTTATTTTCACAGAAAAACAAGGCCAGCACCATGCAGCAGGCTCCCGCTGACACCACCTTGGCCGGAAGCTGTCGCCACAGGCCAGGGCCATGCGGGGGGCCGCCCTGACCCTGCAGGAGAGGTTGCAGCCTGCCCTCTCCCTGAAGGATGGGAGAGGTCCTTAGGCTGCCTTTAGGAAGCCTGCTGAGTGCATCCTGGCTGGTGGGAGCAGGCATGTCCTCGCTTTGGCCTGTCACCAAATGGAGTGAATCCCCAGAGCCGGAAATTTAGAGAAAGTGTTTCTTTTTGATCTCATAGGAAAACTCATTGCCATAGCCATCGACATCAACACCTGAATTCCTTTTATTTAAATTTCCATGACAGGGCCGTGAGAGTGCCAAGAAAGAATGTTTTTCCGAGCACTTGGGAAGGAGCCCTCCCTGCTCGGCACGGAAGGTCGGCAGGAGCGCTGCAACGCGTGGTGGTGGGGCAGGAGCAGCGGCGCCCGTCCAGGTACCACCGGTGCTGGCGGTCGCACCCACTGTGGTGCAGGGACTGTGGATGCTGTGCGGCGGGTGTCTTGGAGGACAGCTGCTGCTGCAGTGACTGCTGCTGACAGGTCACCCAACCCCTCGCTTAGAATGATGGAGTGGGGGAGGACTCTTAAAGCCACCCATCCCCGCTGGGGCCCTTGCTCTGCGCAGCTCAGAGACAGATCAGTGCATCTGCCCCGGCGTCCTCCGTGCTCCCGTCACAGTGCACAGCCCTCGCCCTGGACTTCTCTCATGCTCTGAATGCTCGCGAGCCTGGCGGTTCTGGCATTGCCAATGCTCACTGTTCCCGGAGAGCTCAGCTCACTCTCCTGGACACCCGCCCTGGCACAGTGGCCTGTCCTGCTGGTCCTGGAAGTTCTCCGCAAGGACCCGTCTCTGAGCCTTGCCCACAGTCACCTCAGTGACCTGAAGGGGCATGAGGGGGGTTGTTGCTTCCTCTGGGTTGGAGATGGGGTGGCTTTCAGGGGTGATTAGGTCTTTTTCGACTTTTATAGAGACAGCACAAAGTCTCCACAGTGACTTGCAAATCAACCTGTCAGAAAGAAAACAGGTCCCCAAAGCTGCAGAAGGCTCGAGAATTCCCTGAGGAGGACGGCCACCACACCCAGAGATCATCATTTGCCAGCAGTTCCCTCCAGGACACGTGGAAGCTACTAGACCTGGGATCCAGCCCTTCTGGCCTCACCTCCCAGGATGACTCCACTCCAGGTGGGAGAGGCTGCCTTCTCCAGGCTGCCGCTGCACAGTTCTGGGTGACGGTGGGAGGGACAGTGTGGTGACTGCTCTCTGAGGCTGACATGGCGAGCCAGCATCCTGCGTGCTTCCCACCGCTCAGGTTCGTGCACTTTGGCTTCAGTGATGTGTAAATCTCGTAGGCTCCCCACCTCTCCTGTGGTGCTGGAGCACTTCCCGTATCACACAGCAAAGCCCGTGGTGCAGAAGCCCGTGTCCTCGCTCAGTGCCACGGGGGCGCATTCCCTGCTTGCCTGGTGTGGGGTCTGTGGGCGATGAGCAGGGTGGTCTCTGCTCAGGGGCTTCGTGCAGTTTGCACAGCCTGTGACTCTGGAGGGTGGCGGTCCTGAGTCGTTCTCCATCTCACAAGGCTGAGAAGCTGAAGGCGACCACGTCCTTGGTCTGCTCCACTCCCCTCTTCTCTGTCAACTAAGTCACCTTCTGGGTAAGCTCAGCAAGCTGCCACTTCAGCTCACGCTGGTGGTCATCATGGCATTTCCAGGAAAATCTGTCTGAAGGACCCACCTTTGGGGAACTGCCCGAGACCCACACGGAGCAAGAAGTGTGGAGGGAGGAGGAGGCTGTGTGCAGACACTGGGGACACACGGCAAGGGGTGTGGGCGCAGGTGGAGGCGCGAGCGTGGGGTCTGCCCTGTGTCCCTGGGCAGAGGTTCCTTGTCCTCGTCGTCCTAAGACTGCAGAGTATCCCATTGTGTAGATGTTCCCTAATTTACTTAACTGTTCCCCAACCAGTGTGCGTTTCAGGTGACTTCCAGCCCTTGGCCATCACAGTAACGCTGCAGTGGGTCACCTTGTGCGCACACCACAGTGCATGTATGGAAGTATGTGTGTGAATTCCCGACAGGGTGCTTTGTCAGGTGTGCGCATCACTGCTTTTGGTAGATATTGTCCTAGTGGCCTCCACGGAGACCGTCCTGTTCCTCCTCCCACCGGCGGTGCTGGACAGCACTCCTTGCCCCAGACCACCCCAACCACCCCAGCGCGGCTGGCGGACTCGAGTCCCCAGGCAGCTGCTGCCCAGGCCAGTGTTCCGACTCAGAGGCTCTGTGCCTTCTCTTGCGTTTCCCTTTCCTTCCGTCCTCTGCCCGTTTGTGTATTGGGCTGTTGTCTTCTTGATTTGTATGAGCTTGTTATACAGTGGAAATTAGGCCTTTTCCAAGGTGAAAATTGCTAATATTTCCTGCCAGTTTTTCATGTTTTTTTACTTTTCTTATGACGGTCATTTTTCATGCACATATTTGTTACTGTTATGTAGTTAGTGTGTTTGTTTGCGATCCTTTCTGGGTTTTGTGGCATACTTAGGCCACTCAAGCCTTGTTTCTTCTGATACAGCCCTAGTTTCATTTTTTTATGTTAAATACATGATCCACTTAGAATTTATCATAGTGTGTGTTATGAAGTAGGAGCCAACCTTTTTTTTTTGCTCCAGGGATAACCCGTGTTTCCCCACTTGTCTGACGTCCCACTCACTATAACGCTGAAGTTTCCACGTGTCTGTGTCCGGACTGTTTGCTCAGGCCCACGGCTCCTGGTCTGCTCACACACAGGGCCATATTATCTGAATTATCGTCACTGCTGGTACCTCTTAGCGCCTGGCTGACCTGGGATCTCCTCTTTACACGTCTTTCTCAGAATTTTCCTGGTTATTCTCATTTATTTACTTTTTCCATACACTCTTTAGACTCCCCATGTCTGGTTCTCCCGCCCCTCCCCCCAAAACTCTATTGTTAGTTTTCTCAGGATTTATGACTTAGGAAGAAAAGACATTGCGACCACATGTTTCTGGTTCTCCTGGGTGCCCCAATTTTGCCTCCACCTCTGTAATATATTTATTTTATATATTCTTCTTTTTGGGACTCAATGAACTCAAACCATGTCTCATTCTGTTCTCCTAATACCTCTCCTCTGTGTCTCTCTTGTGATTCTGGGAGGTATTGCTTCATCGCATTTCTTTTTTTTTTTTTTTTTTTCCTTTTTGTCTTTTCTCGTGTCCGGCAACGGATCACAACCCTCAGTGTTGCGCCCGTACCGGACCGGGACCGGCAACGGGATCGCAACCCTTGGTGTTGCTTCCGCACCTCGCTCAGCCAGTGGGCGGGAGCCGGTCTGTATGTGGGATCCGAACCCTCGGCGGGAGCGCCACCGCACTCCCAATCAGGGCACTGTAGCAGTGTGCCACCGGGCCGGCCCTTCATCGCATTTCTAATTCATAGTTTTCGTCCATTCTACTGGAAAGTCTTTTGGTGAATGTCCATTTTCACTTAGTTGGCTTGTTTCTTTCCTCTTTTTTCTTATTGTCACCCTTCATCCTTAAAAGAGGTACATTTTTACTTGACCAGCTATTTGTAAGAAGTTTATATGGGAATGAAGTCAGAGCCATTTTCCATTGTAGCAGTTTTGTTGTTGTTTAAAGGTGTTCGGCCTTTGGGCCGGCCCGTGGCTCACTCGGGAGAGTGTGGTGCTGATAACACCAAGGCCATGGGTTCGGATCCCTATATAGGGATGGCCGGTTAGCTCACTTGGGAGAGTGTGGTGCTGATAACACCAAGCCAAGGGGTGAGATCCCCTTACCGGTCATCTTTTTAAAATAAATAAATAAATACATGTGTTCAAGCCTTTGCTTATCCCTGGCCTATGAGAGTCAGTGCCTGCCAGGCTTTCACAAAGCCTCCTCCCCTCCGTCCCCCACAGATGCCCCCGTGCTCTGCATGTGTCCCTGGTTCACTCCCCACTCTCCTCCGGAAGTGCTTGCTGCCAGCCACATCCACTATAGCAAACAAGGAACCTGACTTGCTCCTGACACTCGGTGTGCCGTCCCCTTAAGATGGCTTTCTCAGCTGTGGACGAGGCCTGAGGTCTGCGGCTGAGGCCGTCTCCGCCACCTGCCGTACGTGCCCTTGCTTGGTATCCACTGCCTGCTGCAGTCCCACCACTTTTTACACCTGGAGGTTTAGCTCCTAGTTTTATTAAAGTGAAGTCTGCATTTTTGTTTTTCGTGCCCTTTTTTTGCTTTTGGATGATTTACAAGAAGAGTAGGGAAGGAATGCTGACATTGTGATGCCTTCTTCAAGTCAGAAACTTGTCTTACTTTTTTT